GAATCTTAAAAACACATTCCAATCATTGCCGTCTTGCCTTCCATTTTTTGCTCTGACTTTTGCTCCTACATATGGGCACAAATTTTACAAGTTTCAATTGATTTTACCAATATCATGCATTTATTTTTAATTTTTAATTTAGGATTTCAAGGTAAGAGTCACAAAGGAGGGTTTTGGGCATTGCAGCTGACTAAAATAAAATATTTACCATTTTCTCTTTCCTTAACTTTCTGTCTTCCTTAGAAAAGGTGAATATAGTAGTAAGAAAAGTAGAAAACCCCATGGACCAAACACCAGGACAATATGAAAGTGACCAAAATGGACTTACAATTTCCGCAAATGAGTGGCAAAACATACTTTTTCAATGCTCATTTTATTTCTCTTACTCTCACCCTAATATAAAATATTAAGGATTCTAGTGTTCAACAGAGGGAAGTTACATGCATACCTTAAAACAAATTTTAATCTATGTACGTATTATTATTGCTGTGCATACATACATATATACTTTCAAACAAATCTAGGGACATCCAGAAATCCACAATTATTACAAAGATCTTCCTGATTACAAAGTTGCTAACATCACAGAATCTGTAACCCAATATACCAAGGTTTGTAGGACATATTGATCCACTTATTTACATATTTGGGGATGTTTTAGTGGTAATTTTAAATATTTATTTCTTAAATGCAGTTCCCAAGACTGTATATAATATGAATATTTTAAAAAGACAATTTGACATTGCATATTAGAAATTTGAAAATGGACATTGTACTGTTATGTACTAAGGCTTATGTTCTTTGAAAATATACTGCAGTCTTTATAATGTCATTGTTATATCTTATGTTATTTATACATTACATATGTATTTTTACTTTTGTTATTAGGTATACAATGTTACGTGCAATATATTAAAATCAAGCAATGTATTAAATCTCATCTGGAAGGACTACCTTACGGAAAAACATAAGCCTTTTAATCTTTGATGTGGTACATTCACCATCTGGTGGTAACTCACTAGAAACCTAGTCCAGGCAGTAAATAAAAACTCATCTAAAAGGTATTTTGGCAATTACTTACAAAGAAAAATACAGGATGTGTAATGTTTTTTATTTCCTTAAAACCACTTTTATTTTTGTTATATAAAACAATAATTCTCAAAAGAAACAATAGAAAATAAAAATAATAATAGAGAAGTACTGAGCCTCCCATATTTTCACCACCACCCAAATATAACCATTCTTAACGTTTTGGGTAGATATTCTTCTAGAATGTTTCTGTGCATATATACACACATTTCTCTAACAGAAAATATTTGTTTTTAAATTTTTCTATTTCATTAATGTTCCTATTTATCAGCTGCTATTTGAATCGATATTCTGGGCATGGATACCAGCTGATGATCTGAGATATAAACCACCATTGTCTGCCCAATTCGTATAATCTTAGAACCCACAAACATCTCCAGGACCCAGACAGATGATTAAGCCCCATGGCTTCTGGATTTAAGGTGACACACTCGTAGCTGAGAAAAGTTAAGTTAGACTTATCAGCTTGCTCTGCTGAATTTAGAAAGTGAGAAGCAGAAAACAGCCTTGGCCAGTTAGCAAGGGGAACAAAAGCAAAATGAATAAGCAAATAACTATTTAAAAGCCATACTGTGAGATGATGTCGTGAAGTAGAGTTGGGTCAGACAAGACTCTTGCAAGTCATGTAAATGTGAAGGTGCAGAAAAGATACCGGGAGCCAGACATGTTTTCTCTGATCCAATGGCCATGCTTCAAAGGGATATTGTTAGAATTCAAATCTGATTAGATCTTATTTCTCCCTAAATACTCTTTAAAGGTGGCTTTACAGGCCCTTCCTGATTTGATGCCATCCTTCCTTTCCAGTGCCACTATTAGAATGCTGGAGTCACATGTTTTGTTCCATCTGTGCAGAGCTGTCCTCTAAGATAATCACTTCTTCTAAGAAACGTCTGTTTCCTAGATTGTGACAGGTGAACCTGCCATGTGCTTCCATTCCACCATGTAACCTCCAAGACTGCAGGACCCAGTAACTAATACAGCACCTGGATCATAACAGGCTCCCAATGACTAGACAAAGCACCAAGAGAAAAGTAGACATTCCATAAATCTTCATGAGATTACATGCAGCCAAGGAAAAAGGGAGATAGAAGAAAGGGCACCCAGATGTGCTTCCCCGGCTAATCTTTTTCAGATCCAATTTTGATGTATGTGATCCTTTCAATAACTCCAAAAATGCATTTGGCTCAGTCCTGTTTGTTGGGTTGCACATGATGATTAGGACAAGCATACAGAAAGGTGAGGGTAAGAAAAATAATGAACAAATGTGGTAGAGTGCAGTGATATGAGGGCAGCTCTGGGTGTGCCCGCCTGCAGCAGGCAGTCTCAGCCAAGGGAGAAGAAGCCTGATGGGCAGCAGGCATATGACTTCTGGTATGCAAGCACTCTTGCCAGGGGTGCCATAGCCCACTATGAACACATGGGGATGTGGTCTAGAGTAGATAGCTGTGGCCAGCTGGCTGGCAGATGCCAGTTGTTTTCCTCAGCAGTGACCACCTGGGGCTCCTTGGGGCCAGAGTGACTGGGTTGGCTGACATGGGAAGTGGGTATTTACTAACTGGTTTGGAAAGTATTTCAATGTCTTAACAATTATATGGCCACAATGGTGTTTACTCACTGACTATCAACCTGCAGGAGGGCATATTTAACTTGCTCTGGGCACTAAGCAAGAGAGAGGAAAAGTTTCCAGATTTCCTTACTCAGCTAGTGCATCTCCAAAACTCTGGGGGTCTCTGAGGCCACTCATCCATACCTATAGTAAAAGAAGAAAATAGTAAATGTCTTAAGAGAAATGCTATTGGGTCACAAGCCCTGCAGTTATCTCATATTGCCCAACTAGTTATATAGAAGGAAAGGCATTGATACCCTTTTGGGACCAGTTAGTTGAGATCAACATTGTCCTCTGGAGTCATTTCCTACACTCCTTGTTAGTAATAGTTGAATGAGGCCTTACTGCTAGGCCTCCAGTTGTATCAGCCAATTCCTTTTGCCTGGGAAGACACCTGGCACTTTGCACAGATGTTCTATGTTCTGTGCATCCTGTTCTCTACATCTTCACCAAAGCTTGTTATTGTCTCTTTTTGATTATAGCCATCTTGTTGGGTGTGAAATCATATCTCATATGGTTTTGATTTGTTCTTCCCTGATGGCTAATCATGTTGAGTATCTTTCATATAATTATTCATCATTTATATATCTTCTTTGGAGAACTGTCTATTCAGATCCATTGCCCATTTTTCAACTGGGTCATCTTTTTATTATTGGATTGTAACAGTTTTTTACGTATTCTAGATGCAAGCTTCTTGTCAAATATATTATTTGCAAAAACTTCTTCCTATTCTGTGGTTTGTCTGTAACTAGAATTCTTAGTCTAAAGTAATACAAACACTTCTGAAAAGAGTCTTGGATTATAAAATTTACCCAATTTCATTAAACTGTTATGAGTACTAGCAGCAGGACAGGACTGACTACATAATTTGCAAAGCCTAGTGCAAAATGAAAATGCAGAACCCTGTGTTAAAAAATTTTAAAAGAGCATTAAACCAAATGTGGGGCCCTTCTATGCAAGGGGCCTTGTGGGACACAGGTTACATGGATGTGAAGCTAGGGAGATAAGGATTTGAATCTGTGATGCTTATTTGTCCTCTTTTCAGTGGGCATTTGGTAATATATTTAACCTACTCTGAAGAAAGTGAAGGTTCCTATGGTCAGGATACTCACTTCACTATGCTTGGCTTGTTTGCTACACATGTGTGGGAAATACGTTATTATTGACTCTATATAAAGAGCTCCTCCCATTGCAGGAGAGCAGATGCTGGAGTGGTGGTAGAATTTAGGACAGAGACTGAGATGGCTGCAGGGCCAGAGAGGCCCAGAGGGAGAGGCCGGCTTGCTGCATGCAGACTTGCTCTGAGTGGATGGGATTCTAGTGAATGACCTGCCACCGTGGGAATAAAGTTAGGTATAAACCCTTTCACCCAAAGAATGTTCTAGTGTCATTTTTTTTCAGTCTCATTGAATCCACAGTGAACTTGTCTGGGGCTGAAACCCATTGGCCAGACACCTACATTAGAAAAGTAATTTTTGATCTAAGACTCGACAATATCTTCTTAAATGTCAACTTGTTAAGACGAATTCATTTAACTTTCCTCTCTCTGAAAATTCTTCACTGAATTCCTTTTGGTAAATATGTCAATACTTTAGTGGTGATTAGATGTTTGCTGCTGGACATCTGGGCGCATCTGGATGCAGAGGAACATTCTTCTGAATCAACAGTGGATCGTCAGGGATGAGTTAAATTGGTTTTCTTTCACAGTAAGCTACTTTCTGAATGTAATTATGCTTTCATATGATAACATGTAAACTTTTGGTTTAGTTGGTGAAGACTCTATATTATCTCTTAATGAGACAATTCTTATCTGTCACTCAGGAAGAATGGGAGAATCTATCTTTTCCAAGAAACTGGAAATTTCCTAATGTGAAAGAACCTCTGCTAGGTTAGGAATAAACTACATCAGTGTCCTCCTGTTACCAAGTGTATTTCATCTGTTTGATTCTCAAAGGAAAGAATACTAAATTTACATTTTTTAATTTAAAAATCTTAGAATTCCAGAAAATTTACGTCAATCCCTGGCTAGTCAAATTCCACAGGCCTCAAGCCCAGACCACTTGGGCTTTTCCTAAGACAGCCACTAGAGGGTAACCTCTTTCCTCCCAGGCAGCCCGCGCCTGCTCTCTGCCCGCTCCTTTAGCCCTTGCGGCATCTCGCCTTCCGCCTTCGCCCCGGCCCCGCCGTTGACCGGCTAGGCCCCGCCCTGTCCCATCTCCCCGCCCCAGCTTATTTACGCAGAGCTTGTTTTCGTCCCGTCCTAACGCGGCACAGTGGTAAATCTCACTACCGGTCTCTCTGGCCGCTTGGAGGACTTATCATCTATGCCCAAGACGCAGGGTGGCGCTAGGGGAGGTGCGACGAGCCGCCGAGCGTTTCGAACGCCGCGGTCTGTCATCCGGGCTCGCGAGTGTTTCAGCAATGGTTCTGCGCCCGGCGTGGAGGCTCATGTCCAGGTGAGTGAGCGGGCGGGCGGTCTAGGACAGGCTCCCGGCCTGCGTTCCCGAGGTGGAGAAGGAGCGAGGGTGGGGACTGCCGGGCCTCGAAGTTCTGAGTCGCTCTTGGAGGCACAGCTCGCAGACCCTAACCCCGGCGCTCCTGTGTCCCTTACTCTTCTTTCTGCTCTTACCCCTTCTCCTCTTAACTCCTGGCACCGTTTTTGGTGCGTCACCTTCATTTTCTGCCATTCAGGCTCTTTTTCAGCCTTGACCCGGCACTACTTTCTTTCCTTTTGACCCCCATTTCTTAATTTTCTGAAAAGTTGAGTATAGTTCGGGGGGCACGCAGCGTTTCAACTGGGAGGAATTTTGGGGCATGTTTGTGCAGTTACCGCTCGAGCTTTGCCAGTTATCTCACCTGTTGCTCAGAGTGTGTGTGATGCATCAGCTCTGTCGGATTCTCTGGCGCTAGTACACGTAGCCAGATTTTTCAGGCTAGTGTTGCAGACGCATGACGTGAGCAGACGCATGATGTAGCTTGGTGGAGTGTGTGTGTACACATTGTGTTTAACTTTTGAAAGTGCTACTCAGTGCAGCTTCGTAATTGGGTAGCAATTTTAGGAAGTTAGGCTGCCTCATTCTTGAAGCATACTGCCCGCCCCTATACATGATCCGGTAGCAGCTGTGACCACTTGAAGGGCCACCCATATTATTTCTTCAACAACGGAAATTTCTGGGCTCTTTAGCCTTTGAGTTTGCCTTGGTGGAAAGCAATGGGGTATTACTGCTTTAGGAGAAGGTGTCTAGTTGTTTAGCATTGTATCTACAGACATGGTTCTTGAATAAAGTATTTGAATAAAAATGGAAGTTGCTGTGGGGAAATTGGGATTCCTCTGATCAGGGTCCTCACTGAACCTCAACCACTTGATGATGTAACTGGCCTGTTGTTAGGCTACTGCTTCCACACTTATAGGCAATGAGCTATTAGTGACTGAGTCACTATATAAAGAGCTGGCCCAGTCCTCTGGGCGGAGGCAGAGGTTCTAGTGCTCGACCTACCGCTGGGAAAACAAGCTGGGTAATAAACCCTTTCGCCCCAAAAATCTTCTACTGTCATTTCTTTGGTCACCTTGAATCCATAGTGAATTTGCCTGGGGCTGAAACCCATTGTCAAGACAGTTGCTTTCCTTCTTTTTTAAAAAATCAATGCCTTGAACTTAGTTGTCCCTGTGCCTCTAATCAGCTCATGGAGACTACATGGCAAATCTAAGAAAGTCAGTGCATGTAACCATTGCTGAAGTTGTGAGCAAATAACCAAATTATCTGAGAAACAAATTGGGAAGTCATGTTTGTTAACAAAATTAACTGTCTTGGGAAAGAATCTGTCATTCCCTGAGTTCAGATTGGCTTTATTCCACTCCACATCTCAAGGCGCAGACTGATGGGGTCAGTCCTGGATCAGTTTGCAGGCTTTGATCAGAGATTTGTTTTCCAGGCCCAGCCCTGGAATGGGTATTTCTCTAGCAAAGCAGAGACCCGAGGGCCAGTGTCATCCAGTCTACAACAGCCTAACCCAGAAATGTATTAAAGAATAGGTTACCTATTAACAGAGTGTTTCTGAGAGATAGTAAGGCCTCTGTACTGTGGTTGACACTGTTGAGCAGTCCCTCTGGAACTTTGGTCTCCCTTGGCTTTTCTGACACTGTCTTGCTTCCTATGAACACTCCATGACTTGGTAAGTTACTGTAGTACCAATACAGCCATGGAACTTATTTTTTTCCCAAATAGTGTACCTCTTTCTGAAAATAATTCTCAGCTGTGTATGTCTAACCTTGATTTAGCCTGAGCTCCATTTCTAGTCACAAAGACCCAAATGTCTCATTTATACCTCAGTGTAAATTTGCACTTAAGTGGGACCTTTACCTGTACTTTCAACTTCTTGGCACTATCATTGTTCTAGATTCCTAAAATTATCCAAGTTCTTCCACACTTCCAATCCTTCTCCTCTTGTTGATTGGCATCTGAACCATCCTCTCAAAATTTATCACCTGTTCGTTTTACAGAAACTCGATTGGTGGATTTACCTCTTCCCAGTTTGGATAGGTTCTGCACATGGCTGACAGATAAATGTTGCCAAAGTTTACTTCAATGCCTGCCATTCCTCTGTTCAGAAGCTCTTAAAGGTGTCCTTCTACCTATGGAATAAAAAACTTCACTGCTTGGGTTTCAAAGATTTGGCCCCAGTTTACTTCATGACTTCAACAGTACCTCTTGCTGTGTTCTAGCTTCTGGGTGGTACTGTCCTAGGCATTTCTCTTATCTTGCCTGGACTCCTGGCTGTTCTGTTTCTTATGTAAAGCCCTTGAAGTTCCAAAGGAGAGCAGACAAGAAACAAATATTTAAGCAAGAGTAATGCCTAGTTACCATTTCTTATAACTGTCTTAAAGGAAAAGTGTAATTATGAGGATTCTGAAAGGAAGAGGGATCAGGGAGCCTCTTCAAAGTTAAAGTTGATCCTTAACAGTACTCAGCCCCTTCTCCATCTGCTCTGTATGTTGCGGTACTGCATTACTGTGGATCTTGCTTCTCGGACTGCCTCTTTTTCTTTGGTTTCTGAAGGCTCAATATTTGCTTCTCTGCTTTTTCTATGCTAGGAGTCACAATTCCAAATGCACAGGCAAAGAAGGAATGAAGCATTGAGTGGCGCTGGGTCAATGGCAGCAGTGGGGAACTGGAGCGCCCTGTCTAATGGAGACAGTGTCTCAGCCCCAGGCATTGTTACCATTGTAAAATGTACACCCAGGGTTTTTTTCCTGGAAAAGTTGGAAAAGTGCATTGTTAGGTGAAATCTCTTAATTTTTCAATGTTTGTAACTTTAAAACACTGCTGACGAAACAAAACACATTTGTAGACCTGGGCGGCCTTCAGGCCACTGGTTTTTAACTGCAGCTTTCTCACCATTCTTCATAGACAGCTGAGAGGTTCTTATGCCTTACGGATGTCTCTGCGTGTGACTTCCTGATGTGTCTTTAGTCATCACTTCAGTCAGCAAGTCATTTTTCTTTGAAACTCCAGTGTCTCTTCTCCATTTGCAGTTGAATATTCCTACTTGTGTCAGTACAAACACAAGTTAAAAATGGAATTCATATTTCATTCTACAAACCATCTAGTTTCCTTCCCAGCCCTTTCAGTACTTGTATTGTCTTAGCTATCCTTGCTTGAAATCTTGGAGTCATTCTGACAAAATTCTTTTGTTTTCCATTGAGCGTTTACTTCACAATGACTTAATAAATCATTCCTTTCTGTTTCCGTAACTGCTGTTCTTCAGTTAATGCCTAAATTACTTGGCCTTGGACCTAATTTTCTGCTCTATTCACATTCTGCCTTGCCTACTTCTGATGTATAATAATCTTCTTTAAGCATTATTTTCAATATGTCATAAACAGTTTCATGAAAAGCTGTATAATCTTTATAAAAGAACCCATGTGTGCTTTATTGGACATATACAAAAATATCCTAGATAAGCTTTTCATCCTTCTAAGGTAGTTGTTTTTAGCTTCGAATAACAATCACCTGGAGAGTTTGTTAAAACACAGGTTTCTGGGTCTCAACCGTTTCTGATTCAGTCCGTCTGCAGTGGGGCCAGTAATGTGCATTTCTAACAGGTTCCCAGGAACCACACTTTGAGAACCACTTCCCCGAGCAGCCAAGTTGACCATCAGATGGAGGAAATAAGCCTGATAGAGTGAATTAGTGAATTAGCAGCAGCTGAAATGTGCATGTGCTCTTCACCAAATGACTATTTGGGAACTAATAGGAAGGAAAGATGACCATAAATTCAGTATTTCTTAGAGACTCTGAATATTCAAATATGTTTTTTGAGATGTAAAAGTTAATATCAGATCTTAAATAGCAGCTGAATATAAGTTGGACAAATAAAACTAATATGATCATATGGAATCTGGCTTCTTGTTTTATAGTAATTGGTCCAGAGATTTTTGTGACCTATAAATGCCATGCACAGTGCTTTGCACATGCATTTAATAGGTTTACATCAACTATTTTTCAGAAAAATTAAATTCTCACAAATAAAACCGGGACTTGAAGCTACGTCTGTGTTTCTGGTCATTCTTTGTGCTTAAACTGCCACATAAGACCTGCCAATTTGGCAGCATTATTTTTGACCTTGAACTGGCATTGGGCTACTGGCCACATTAAGAAACTCAAGGTTATTTTGAATCTTGGGTCTAAAGAATTCAGTGTTTAGATTTTTGGTATTTCAATTTTTTCTATTTGGAAAAAATTTTAGAAATGGTGCTTTAGGATAAGTATAGTTCAGATTTTAAAAGTATATGAAATCCCTGTTTGGAAAGCACCCTTAAATAAGCCAGGATGTGTCACTCCTGTTTAATTTTTATAAAATAGATTTTTAAATTTAATCTGTTATGAATTTTATAAAACTATTATAAATCTAAATTTATAAAAATTTCATTTTTATAAAATAGATTTTTAAAAATAGTTATGCCTGTGACCCACCTCTGGAGTTTGGTTTAATTGGTCTTGCATGTCATCTGGGCTTTGAAATGTTCACAGGAGTCCCCCTGTTCTAATGTGCAGATAGGTAAAACTGCTGGGAAAAGAATATTTTACTTGTTACCAAAATTCAAAGTATGCTAGTCCAGGAATATAAAGTGTGACTGATTTAAAGAAATTAATGTAGTATTAAATTTGAATATAATATAAAAGTCAAAATACACATTCTGAAAAGTTAGGTGGATTACAAATATTTTTACAAATTCATCTAAAATGTGACTACGAGTGGTAACATTGGTCATATTTGCTCTTTTTTCATGCCTCAGTTAAACTATTGCCTTTCAAATCTCAAAATATACTTGAAAAAGTTAATAAACTGGCACTTTATCAGGTCCGTCAGACAGTATGGTTATATACACATGTGCACAGTCATCAAGCTGCTGCTGTTACTGATTCCAGCTTTAACCTCTCTCCATACATCTTAA